CTTATTTATTGTGAGAAGGGGGGAGTGAGTGGGGAGGGGCAGAGAGAGAGAGGGAGAGAGAGAATCCCAAGCAGAGCCCAGTGCGGGGCCTGAACTCACACAAACAGTGAGATCATGGCCTGAGCCGAAGTCAAGAGTCAGGCACTCAACCGACTGAGGCACCCAAGTGCCCCATCTGCATAGTTTTATAAGTGAGAAGTGCACCCCTAAACAAGTGGTGTGACGTTGTCTGTTCTGAACTTGCTGTGAATGGACTCACACTTGATGTGTTGCTTTGTGTCCGGTTTCTTTTATTTCACTGTGACCTGCTTACACTTTGTCCCTGTTGTATGTGTCCGTACTAAGTGGAGGAACATTCTGCTGTATGAATTTACCACTGCTTGTCCATTCTCCTGTGGGTAGGCATCTGGTCTGTTTGCAGATGGGGGGGGGGGGTACTGTGAGTGTTGCTGTTGTATGTGCCCTTTGATAAATACACACACTCCTTTCTGTTGAGGGTTTGTGGGTTAGGGATTGCTGGGTCATGGGGTAGGCATATACTGAGTTTTAATTTTTACTGCCAGTTTTCCATGGTGGTTGAACCATTTTATACTTACGCTGGGAGGTATTCCTTTGTATCCTTACCAACTCTTGGCATTGTCAGTCTTTAAAATTTCAGCCATCGTAGCAGGCGATTTTAATTCACATTTCCCCCTAACTGATGAGACGGTGTGCGTTCCTTGGTTGTGTGAGTGTCCTCTCTTGTGAAGTGCCCTTGCTCTTTTCGCCTTGCCTCCCAGGCGGCTCACCTTGAGCCTACAAGCTGCAGATCTGGTCCAGGCCCGCAGCGGACTCAGGCCTGGACACTCAAGGAAGCAGCTAGTGGAGATGGGGCCATACAGGCACTCCCTGCCGTGGGGTGTGTGGCCTGCGGGCTGGTGGCCAGGGCAGTCCCCTGCGTGCTGACACCTGGCTTCCAGAGGCTGTCCTCTGTCCTCCCGCCTGGGCGTCCTCCATCGGCAGCTCCCCAGGGAGCAGGCCATCCTCTTGGCTTCGGTGCCTGGTGTTTCATCACCTCTGGACTGCGTCACAGACACCTCAGCCGAGGCGCCACCCTCAGTGGGAGGACGGGGCAGGATCCAGGCAGGACGTAGGGGATCTTCCAGTTCCTCCCCCTGCCCTTGCTCAAGCTGCTGCGGGCTTCTTAGTTGCTGAAATGAGAATGTAAAACGTGGCCCCGGTGTGCCGAGCAGCAGCGGCCAGGGCTTCCACCACTCCTCAGCTGGGAGACCCAAGGTAAACGGCTGACACTCTGAGCTTCTGCCCTCCCCCAGGCCCGGTCACGGCCCCCCTGCTGGGGTGGTTGGGAGCATTCAGGAGAGACTCCGTGAGGGCACCGGCACCCTGCTTGTTCAAGGCCGCCCAGCTGGCAGTGGCTCTCGGACTCTGTAACCCTGACCACTCTTGGCCACACCTGGCTGCCTTTGCTTTTCTCTGATCACGGTGGCTACGTGTTGTCTGTTCACTGGGGGCCAGGCAGGAGGCTGAGCCTCTGCGCACAGCAGGTGCTTCAGTGTGGCGTGCAGAATCACGGAGGTAAAGTCGCGGGGCTGGGGGCAGGGGAGGGCGGAGATTGGACACTAGGCCCCCCATCCTGTCTTTCTGTGCCCTCCCTTCCTTTGGACTTGGGTTCTCCATCCCGGTTCTTTGGAACTTCCGAACTGAGCTGGTCCCAGGGAAAGCGCAGTGTCGGCCCCTGCATCAGGGAAGGAATTCTCTAACTTGCCACCACCACCTCACCCGGCCCCCAGCATTCTCCCCGCCCCCCTCTCCTGGCTCCTTACCCTGTAGCCACACCGGCCCCTTGGCAGTTCTTCACGCTCTACAAGTACTTCCTGCCTCCAGGGCTTTGCATTTGCTCTTCCCCTGCCTGAAATTCTTTTCCCTTCATGTCAGCATGGCTCACTCCCTCCTCATGAGGCCCCCACACCACCACCTTCGCGTAGCACCCCGTATTCCCCGCCATCCTTTCCTCTGCTTTACTTTTCTCAGCGCCTCGCCACCGGCTGATAGTGTTCTGCGTGTGCCTGTGTGTTACCTGTCTGCCCGACCAGAACGTGAGCTCCGTGAAGTCGGGCTGTGTTTTACTGATGATTCATCTCTGGTACCCGGGGCAGTGTCTGGAGCTTAGGACATGCTCGGAGAAGATTGGTGGTGAATGAACTCCTGGAATGTTCCGTGTGGGAAGAGCCTTTGGGAACTTTGGTTCATTTGCGTATTCTCATAGATATCAAAAGTCTCTGTGCTGAATCATAAAATTAACACCCTATAGGTGTTGGAGTGTGAGAGTGCACAGAAAACTAAAACTACCCAGGAGTCAGGAAAGGCTTCCTGGAGGAAGGGAAGAAGCCACAGAAGGTGCAGGGATGAAGCCAGAGAAGAAGTCTGAGGACAGAAAAGCTGAAGTAGAAAGTGAGGAGGAGAGGGCACAGAGAGAATTAGGTGGCGCTAGGTGTAAATAGTCATTGTTATGAATGGGTGGGTTTTAGCCAGGAAGCTTCTAAGTGACAGTGGAACTCATGATGGGAGATTTTGTTCTCACAAACAGCTGGGGAACCCTGGAAAGGGTTTTAACCTGGAGCTGGGGCTGCATTAGATGGGTATATGGAGTTGAGAAACAGAGCTCAGGGCCAAGGGAGAAAACCAGGAGCAGTTAGAGTGTAGTGAATCTGGGTGGATGGACAATTAGAGACTGACTGGAAGGCGAAGCTGAGGAGAAGCAGCTGGAGTGAGAAAGTCCCAGCAGAGGCGGGTCCTGAAGGGCCTTGAATCCCAAGTGAGAGCCCAGCTCTTTTCCAGTGTGAGAAGCCAGGAGGAGTTTTACAGAGTGAGAGGAAGAACAAGGGTCAAGTTAGAGAACTACTGAATAGAGGGCAGATGAAAGAACAACAGGCAAGGGGATCTAGGGAGAGGGTTGGGGAGGGAGGACTTGAGGAAGGCAGCACTGGGCGGTAGGCTAGTGAGCCAGGCCACCAGGAGGGGCTGGGAGGCTGGTGGATTCGAGACGGTCACCCTGGAGGTGGAGGAAGCCCGGCTGGTGGGACTTCAGAGTGGAGGGGTCTGCAATCCTGAGTGTTCCGTCCATGGGGTGTGAGCCTGGGGTGCTGGTCATGCCTGCTGTGGGGAAGCCCCGTTGCTTGCTCCTGGCCCCTGCCTTTGCAGCTCAGGTCAAGTGATTTCTCACCCAGCTGTTTACTTCCCTGTCACTGTCCATCTTGTCTTTCCTTCGCTTCCTCCCACGCCACCTCCTACCCGGCCCGGGCCGGGCAGTCCTGCTGTCACATGCCAGGCAGTAGTGTGTCAGGCCACCAGCTCCCCTGGGGCATGAGGCTGCCCTTGGGTGTCCCTGAGCCAGCTGCCACCGCCTTCTCCGGGGCGCTGGCTCCTGACCTGCTGTCATAAACTAACCCCAGGCGGGGAAGGCTGGCTAGGCTCCGTGGCCCCTGTCCAGGCCTGTGGCTCCAGGTAGGGGCCCAGCGGGCGGCTGCCTCCTGCCCTTCTCCCTTCCGCCTGGGAGCCTGAGGCTGGCTTGGAGGCCTCGGCGTCTGTCAGTCTGTGAGGCTGCTGGTCCCTGAGGGCGGAGGTGCAGGTCTTGGGGAAGGGCCCACGGCCTCGGTTGAGCCCCCAGACTGACTCCTAAGCCCCAGACAAGTGCGTATGCATAGGTTGTCGTCTCCTTCAAGATCCTGAACGTTAGAGACATCTTCCCGGTCATCTGGATTTGAGGCAAGAGGGACGAAGGAAGTAACTTGGTGGCTTAGTTGCAGGGAGTTTTAGGGCACTCGGTTTTGAGGGATGTGGAGTTGGAAGGAGGAGAGCGGAGGGAAGGCGTGCATGTCGCGTCGCGAGTGTATTGGGTGGGGGGGGGCGGGCAGGCAGATGCTGGTAGCTTTGAGCAATCCCTCCGATGCCCAGGGCTGTCTGATTCATCCCAGGTTACCTCAGCGTGGGGGCCTGGGAGCGACATGGGGTGGAGCCGTGGTTCCCTTTCCTCCAGCCCAGTGTCGGGTGAAGGTGGCTGGAAGGGCTGCCTCTGCTCAGCAAGGCCTGCACGTGGGCCAAGGAGCCGCCCAGGAGCCGCCAGGCCCTCCGGAGTGAGGCCCCGAGGGCGGGGGCAGGCTCCCCCCAATCCCCAGTTGGAATCCCTGAGGACAAGGCCACATCTTCCCCCTCACACTGGGCTGTGTGACTCCACCCTGCAGAGCACGAGCACAGCCAGCTGGTGGGGTGGGGGCTGGGGGACAGAGCCTGGCTGCCCTGAGGGTAGGGGCTGTGGCCCGGCCCTGCCCGGCCGAATCCCTCTCGCACTCTGATGGGCTCTTCTCTTGTCTTGCAGACTGTGCTCTGTCCACCGCACCTCCTGCATGTCCTGCTGCCCTGAGCTGTCCCAAGCTAGGTGACAGCGTGTTACGCTGCCACCATGAATGAGGTGTCTGTCATCAAAGAAGGCTGGCTCCACAAGCGTGGTAAGGGGCTGCTTTCGTCCACTGGATTGCGTGTCTCCCCTTCTATCTTGGCTTTCCTTCTGGCGGCTGGTGCCCGGGGAGGCAGAGGTACAGGGTCTTTACAGCCCGAGGAGCCTGCGTGCCGAGCCCCACCTGCCTGCCCCAGGCCAGGAGCTCCTTACAAGCCTGTTTCATGGAATCTCCTTCAGCAGCAGCCTGGGGCCCCCAGGCCAGATCTCGAGTCTGCCTCTATATTAGTGGTCTCATTCATAGCCCCATTTTATAAATGAAGAAACTGAGGCTCAGAGAGGGGAAGTCACTTCACTGAAGTCATACAGTGGGGTGATATCCCCCGTTCATTCTTTAAGCATATACTCACTGAGTGTGTGTGGTGCACCAGGCCGTCCCAGGGTCCCAGGCTCCTGGGACATGTGGTGTCCTCATAGAGTTTATATTCCAGTGGGGGCTGGGGACAGTGAACAGAGAAGCAGATCTGTGATGCCAGGAGGTGATAAGTGCTGTTGTGAGAAGTAGGAACTCTGGGGTGAAGCCGCTCTGAGGAGGGGACAGTGAACAGGCCCAGAGGAGGGGAGCGAGTGAGCCACACACAGAGCTGGGCAAGGGGGTCCTAGGGAACGGGGCAGCAGGGATGAAGGTGGGAATGTGCTTGGTTGAGTTGGCCTGGGTGGCTGGAGCAGGGGGAGCGAGGGTGAGCTGAATGTGACATCCAACCATGCTGGGCCTTGGAGGCCACGGGAGGGACCTTGGCCTTAACCCTGCAGGAGATCTGAGCCCAACGTATCAGGAGCCAGGGCATGGCCTCCTCTGCTTGTACTGGTGGGCAACTGAGGCCCAGGGAAATGAAGTCATTTACAGCGAGGAGACTAACATCCTACATTGTAAGACCCCCGAGCCTCCTGTCCCCAGAAGCGTGTTGCTTACCGGCTTAGGGGGGCAGCTGTCCAGGCGCTGCGGAGTAAAGGAGGCCGACTGTCTTGGCTTCTGTGGACCTTCTAGGGAGGGAGAGGGCCAAGCTTGGTGGTAGCGGTTCTCTGTGCACATCCATTCAGTCAACAAACACTTACTGAGCAGAGCCACTGTGTTCCAGGTACTGGCAATTCAGCAATGAACCAGACAGGCACAGATCCCCCTCCTTGTGTTGGTCTCACATTTAGTGGGGAAAGGTGGGTGGCACTGATGGATGAGCATGGACAGTGGTGGTAAGGGCCGTGGAGAAAAATGGAGCAATGTGAGAAGGGGGTGTGGGAGGCAGTGGGGGGAGCTGTCGTAAACAAGGTGGGCAGGGAGGGCTTCACCGAGAAGGGACTTTTGATAAAAATATGCAGGAGGCCAGAGAGCGAGCCCCACAGCTAACTGGGACAGGAGAGCGCAGGTGGAGGGGCCAACTGTGAGTCCAGAGAGGGAGTGGGCCGGGCGTGTTTGAAGAGGGCAAGGAGGCTGATGGGGCCAGCCCTGTGGGAACTGGGAGAAACACTCACCCGTCCTGCCTTGTCCCAGGCTGCAGACACAGCAGTGAGGAGGGATGGAGGTGGTCCCCAGAGCCAGGCCTCCACCATCAGACTGAGCAGGGGAGACCCGTTTCCCACTGCCGTTTCAAGGCAGGGGTGGTATTTGAGTCACCTTGGTCCACCTGCCCAGGGTGGGCCCTGAGTCTGGGGCTGTCAGTGGAACTTTCTGAACCTTGGCAGATGTCAAAGTTCTAACCCTGGTTCTGCCACTTCCTCTTGGTGACTGCAAGCAAGCTATGTCACCTCTGAGTCTTGGTTTCACATCTGTAAAATGGGTTAACAACCCAGACCTCTGACATACTCGGTTCCATGAGGGCAGGGATTTTATCTGGCTTGTTCCCTGTGGTATCCCCAGTGCCTAGAAAAGTTCTTGGCATGCAGTGGATGCTCAGTAACTGTTGAGTGAATGTGTTGAGATTGTGTGTAGGTGGTATATACGTTAGGGTGTGCCAGGGTCTCAGGCTCCTGAGTCTCTCCAGGCCAATGGCTCACGGGGCTGCACTGTGAGGGGCTTTGGAGGTGGTCAGAGAACTGTTCCCAGGGCGGGGCTTTGTCTCTGGTCTAGGGCTGCCCATGGCATTAAATGGGCTTCAGCCCCTCTTAGGCCTTCAGGGTCTCCATTCATGCTGCAGGGGGCCAGATGAGCTGTTGGGATGGCCCAGCTGCGACACAGCCATCTTGGGTTTGCACCAGGCGCACATGGATGCATGTTGCTCCTGGGCCATTCTCCCCCCCCCCCCCCCAACATCAGCTCTAGGCCCAACATGGGACTTGAACTCATGACCTCGTGGTTAAGAGTTGCATGTTCTACCAACTGGGCAAGGAAGGTGCCCCCATCGCCTACCATTCTGAGCAGAGGCAGGCAAGGAAAGGTGGCACCTGTGCCATCGCACCCTGCCTCTGGTGGTTAAAATAATAGAGCCCTAGTTTATCATGTGCCCATTCTGTCTGTGCCAGGCATGGGCTCTGCTCTAGGCAAGCCCAATTTTGATGCATTTCCAAGCTGCCCTGTGAGGTGGGCACCATCTTACAGGCGAGGAAGCTGAGGCTCAGCAGGAAGACTGATGTGCCCCAGGTTTTGGCAGAGAGGTGGCCCTCTGATTGCAGAAACTGTGATCTCCAGGCCTGGCCCACAGGCTACCTCTTGCTGAGCAGGGTCTGTTCAAGGAACAGGCAAAGTGAGAGCACGACTCTTGGAGTCACTCATGCCATGTGTTGGTCCCCTTTCTGACACAGCCTCAGCACACCCTCTGCCAGCCCCCACCAGGCCAGCCCCCGTCTGCCAGTTTTGAGGCAGACAGTGTAGTCGTCAAGAGTGTAGACTCTGGATGGAGCAAACCTGGGTCCAACCCTAACTCTCCCAGTTGACAACTGTGAGCCTTAGGCAAGTAATAAAAACCTCTGGGCCTCAGTTTTCTCATCTGTAAAACGGGATTGTTGTGAGGATATTTTTCCTGTCCTTCTAGGTTTCTTTTCTTTTCCTCCCTCCTTGCCTCCTTTCCTCCCTTCCTCGTTTCCTCAGCTTATTATCAATATGTAAAACACCACAGGTAAGTGCCTGGATCATAAACTCACTCCAAAACTAATGCGCAGAAGTCCTCTGTCCTTCCTAAGCAGTAACATTTTTTCCTAACTTCCAGTAGCCTTAGGTGAGTTTTTCTGGGTTTTTTGTTTTGCTCTTTAAAATAGAGGTGAGGGGGTGCCTGGGTGGCATAGTCAGTTAAGCATCCGACTTTGGCTCAGGTCATGATCTCACAGTTGGTGAGTTCAAGCCCGCGTGGGCTCTGCAGTGATGAACCTGCCCAGGATTCTCCTCTCTCCCCTCTCCCTCCACCCCCCCCCCCCGTTTCCCCCCACTTGCATTCTCTCTCAAAATAAATAAACTTAAAAAATAAAGTTGAGGTGAAATTTACATAACACAAAATTAACTCTTTTAAAGTGTACAATTCAGTAGCCTTTTAGTACATTCACAATGTTGTGTAACCACTACCTCTGTCTAGTTCCAAAACATTTTCATCACCCTAAAAGAAAACCCTGTACTTACTAAGCAGTCACTCCCCATTCCCCCACCCCCACCCCCAGCCCCTGGCAGCCACCAATTTGTTTTCTGTCTTTAAGGATTTACTTATTACGGCCATTTCGTATAAGTGAATCATACAGTAGGTGGCCTTTTGTGCCCAGCTTCTTTCGCTTAACATTACACCTTTGAGGTTCATCCGTGTTGTAGCACAGATCAGTATTTCTTTGCCGCTTCTGGCCAAACAATATTCCGTTGTATGAAAATACCACATTTTGTTTATCCATACATCAGTTGATGAACATCTGGGTCATTTCTACCTTTTGGCTATTGTGAACAGTGCTGCTACGAACACTTGTTTGCAAGTATTTGGGTACTTGTTTTTAGTTCTTTTGGGTACAGACCTAGGAGTGGAATTGCTGGAGCATATGTTCTCTGTAACCTGTATTTATACGGGTGATATAAACTGGGTCATACGTTCTATAATCATAACTTAATGTATTCTGTGTGATTAGATCATACGTATTTGTGTTTGTGTATCAGGGTTGTGTATTCCATACTTATAACCTATAATATATTCTATTTTTTATTTTCTTTATTTTTGAGAGGCAGAGAGAGACAGAGCGTGAGCGGGGGGAGGGGCAGAGAGGGAGACACAGAATCGGAAGCAGGCTCCAGGCTCCGAGCTGTCAGCACAGAGCCTGATGCAGGGCCCAAACTCACGAACCGTGAGATCGTGACCCGAGCTGAAGTTGGACACTCAACCGACTGAGCCACCCAGGCGCCCCTCTGTTTTTAAATTTTTGAGGAAAACACCAAACTTTCCCACAGGGCTACCTCATTTTACATTCCCACCAGCAGTGCACAAGGATTTCTTTTGTTCCACATCCTCACCAGCACTTGTTCTTGTTCTTTTCTTTTCTCTCCGTTTTAAATTACAGTTCTCCCTCGTAGGTGTGAAGTGGTACCTCATCATGGTTTTGATTTGCATTTTTCTAATGACTAATGATCTTAAGCATCTTTTCATGTGCTTGATGGCCGTTTTTATATCTTTAGAGAAATGGCTATTCAAGTCTTTTGCCCATTATTTAATTGGGCTAATTGTCTTTTTGTTGTTGAGTTGTAAGAACTCTTTATATATTCTGGATACTAGACCCTTAATCAGATTTATGAGTTGCAGATATTTTTGCCCAGTCTGTTGGTTGTCTTTTATTTTCTTGATAACATCTTTTGCACAGAAGTTTTATTTTATTAAAAAAAAATTTTTTTTTGATATTTATTTGTTTTTGAGAGAGAGAGAGACAGAGCATGAGTAGGGAGGGGCAGAGAGAGAGGGAGACACAGAATTTGAAACAGGCTCCAGGGGGCGCCTGGGTGGCGCAGTCGGTTAAGCGTCCGACTTCAGCCAGGTCACGATCTCGCGGTCCGTGAGTTCGAGCCCCGCGTCGGGCTCTGGGCTGATGGCTCGGAGCCTGGAGCCTGTTTCCGATTCTGTGTCTCCCTCTCTCTCTCTGCCCCTCCCCCGTTCATGCTCTGTCTCTCTCTGTCCCAAAAATAAATAAACGTTGAAAAAAAAAAATTTAAAAAAAAAAAAAAAAAAAAAAAAAGAAACAGGCTCCAGGCTCTGAGCTATTGGTACAGAGCTGTTGGTACTGAGCTATTGGTACAGACGTGGGGCTCAAACTCAACAGACTGCAAGATCATGACCTGAGCCGAAGTCAGACATCCAACTGACTGAGCCACCCAGGCTCCCCAGAACTTTTATTTTTAATGATCCACTTAATTTTTTTTTTAAGTTTATTTCTTTGGAGAGAGAGAGAGAGCGCGCGTGCACACACACATGCACACACACACAAGCAGTTGAGGGGCAGAGAAAAGGAGAGACAGAATCCTAAGTAGGCTCCACGCCATCAATGTAGAGCCCGATGAGGGGCACACACTCACAAACTGTGAGATCATTATCTGAGTCGAGATCAAGAATCAGCTGCTTAACTGACTGTGCCACCCAGGCACCCCTTAATTTTTTTCTTTTATTTCTAGTTCTTCTGGTGTCATATCTAAGAATTCATTGCCAAATCCAGGGTCATGAAGGCTTGTTTCATGTATTCTTCTGAGAGTTTACCATTTTAGCTCTTATCTTTAAGTAGATCCATGTTGAGTTAATTTTTGTATATAGTATAATGTGTGAGGCTGGGGTCCAGTTCTGTTCTTTTGCATGTGAGTCTCCAGTTGTCCCACGCCATTTGTTGAAGAGACTGTTTTTTTCCCCATGGACTAGTCTTAGCACTCTGGCTGAAAATCGATTGGCCATAGATATGTGGGTTTATTTTTTGACTTTCAGTTCTATTCCATTGGTCTATATGTTTATCCTTAGGCCATACTGACTGATGACTGTAGCTTTTTTTTTTTTTTTTT